CACATCTAGGGCTAAGTTGTAGGTACAATTGTCCATTATATGAATAATTATCAACAGGTGAATGGATGCTTTCTATGATTGGCCAATGGAAACTCAGAAAGGCCAGTTCGCTCTGGTCTCAGCTTCAGAGATGGAAGTCCACGGCCACATCTTGCTGTTCTACACAGTAGACCATTTTTGTCTCTACCAAAACCTGCTTCCCCGCTTTACCCCGAGGTGTAGATTCCTGGACCACTCCCAAATAAACACCACACACAAAATTTCAACTCAGGGCTGGCTTTTCCAGAAGTCTAACCCACCATAAGCAAGCATGCCCGACACGCACAGATGTCTTACTTTCAAGCAGTAATATCCAATGATGCAGAAGAAGGAGATGACGGTGTGGAGGACAGCTAGGATGCGCAGGGTGGGCTCCATGTAGCCGCTGCTCTCCTCCAGGACATAGTGAATGGCGATGATTCTGGGCGAGCTGCTGTCCAGACTGCTGGTCACTTTCACGCTGTCGCTGGGGCTCCGGGTGGGCAGCTCCTTTCCCTCAGTCACAGAAGAAGTGGAGACCTGATTCAGACCATTTAAGATATCGTCAGTCACTGCATAATGGGCCACCACAGACAAAAGATGATGGAGGCACAGCCTTTGTGAGCAACTGGATGTGGAATCATTGTGAAATGGTATTACAGAAAGACCGAAAGGAAAGGCTCTTAGGATCACTTGTTCAATAGCAAAGACAAGTAATAAACTGGCTTTTCAAGTTCATGCTGGGCTGGCAAGAAGGATCAGTGGGTGCCTGACAACCCAAGTTTGATTCACAAGAACCACACGGTGGAAGGAAAGAACTGACTGCTGCAAGTTGTCCTCTGACCCGCATGTGCACCATGACACTCACGTGCATGCACACTTGCGAGCGTGTGCGCACACACATGCACATACACACACACACACAAAGTCATAAAATTTTCTGGTTCATGTTAATTCAACCAGAGTTATAAGGATCCCAACCTGTACAGGAAGATACTAGATAGCACTCTTCCAAATTATCTGAATAATTTAATGTAACTGAGGCTCTATCACATCCATGCATTGTAGTAAGTAAGGTGTTCAACTGCATCAGTCTGGGAACTTTCAGGTAAGCCCTTGTAGAATCCTCTTCAGCCCAGCAAACTGGGGCTCTTCCCCTTCCAGGAGCAGATCTGCCTTGATTCCCAGACATCTATGATGTGCCCAGGCTTTGGATTCTGTGATTCGTTCAGATGCATTTTAGAATTGGTTTGAATGTGCTGACTAGGGGCTCACAGAGAAGTTACCCATCTGTATGTAGTTGCACCTACCTTAGAAGAGAACCATCCTTCCCCCAATGCACCTACCTTATAGAAGAGAAGGATGAAGTTGATGGCGAACGCGACAAACAGGGCCAACATCCTCATGTTGTAAAAGTTGCGGGCAAAATAGTTCTGAAGGTGGAAAAAGTTAGGAAGGGGTCACCGAGTATGAGACTCGAAATGTGCAGATGCTTGAGCAAAGTGTTCACTCACTCACTCCAAATTGCAGATCAGGAGCCCACTGCATATGGAGCACCACACTCAGTGCTGGAGACACACAAAGGAGAGGCTTCCACCCATCAAAGAGACAGCAAATAGAAAATCACACCCTCACATGTGGAAAGCAAGTTTCAGGGAGCGCTAAGTGATATAATGAAAAATACATAGGGTGGGTTTATGTGTGAGGTGTAGTTTGGATAGGGGCTGAAGCAGCTTATCTCAGAAGATGAGCATGACTCGGGTCCGGGGTTGGCAGGGGAGTAAATTCAATCAACGTTTGGGGAAGAGTGTCAAAGAGGAGGGTGGTGAGAACAGGGCTCTAAAGTAAGAGTCAAGAATGTTGTGCATTGTGGAGGTTTGAACAAGGACATCCCCCATAGGCTTCAAGTATTTGGACATTTTTGTCCCCAGTTGGTGGCACTGTTGGGGGAGGTCTTAGAAGGTGTGGCCATGTGGGAGGAAGCACGTCACCGGGGGCAGGCTTAGAGAGATCTTAAGTCTTGGGGGATCTTGAGTTGCCCTCTGCTTCCTGTGCCTGCTTAAAGATGTGAAAGTTGGCTTCTGCTCCTGCTCCAATCATCTCTGTCCCTTCCCACCATGACAGAGAGTGATCCCCCTGGAACCATAAGGTCAAATAAACTCTTCCTTTTATAAGTTGCTTTGGTCAGTGTTTCTACCACAGCAACAGAAAAGTAACTAATACATGCGTGAACCCCAGAGAGAAGCAAGGAGAGGGAGAAACTGGGGTCAGGCGGTGAGCAGTGGCCAGGTTCTGAAGGCTTCTGATAAAGGTTTGTGTGGATGTTACGGTGCACCAATGCACGACCTTTGAACCCATCCATGACCTCTGAGGCTACACTACTGGGATACCAAGCCTGTTCCTCCATTTGGAACGTGGATTAAATGACCTAATCCTTCCTGGAGTCCATCTTGTCTTGTGTAATATATTAACAAACCCACCTCATCAGTTTCCTTTGAGAAGTAAATAAGTGAATATGAGCAAAATCAGTTATTCGTACTATTCTAATATAAATAATCAGATGCGATAGTTTGTAGGCTATCACTATGTTATCATTACTGTTTTATTCTAGGTGGGATGGGACACTGTGGGACAACTGAGGACTTAGTGCAACCATATTGACTTAGAAATTACTCTGGCCATTGTATGGAAGGGGGTGGAAGGGACAGGACCAGTGACCAAGTTCCTACAGGACTGCAGGAAGAGGTGATGTTGGCGATGCTGGCATTGGTGGCAGCTGTACACACAAAGAGAAGTGGGAGGATTCTGGAGACGCTGGAGGGATGAGCTGAGAATTACTGCTGGATTGCTAGAGGTGGGGCAGGGAGGACTCAAAGACAAGAGTTTCGGAATCTGGGAGCCTGAGCAAATTCTTAAATGAGCTGGAAGGATCCCAAACTGGACCACTCACACTGTGTCCCCTAGAAGGGAGGAACTAGGACTAGGTCACAGAGGCTGAATTACTGAACCCTTCTTATCAGTTCAGGATTGTCACAAAGCCTGGAGGACAGACACCTGTGGGGACCTCATGTGGCCATGACGGGTCCTGTGTGTGCCAACTGGCAAGCAGGGACCATCGGCTGCAAAGAGAAACAGGAAAGTGGCCAGAGAACAAAGGAGCCCAGGGAAGACTTGAAAGAACAAACTCTGCTGACTGATTCCCTTCTGCAACTGAGACTCGGGACACGCTCTTCAGGAACCCGAGGGGCTACTGCAGGGATCACAGAGCCCACCCAACCCCCAGAGCAGCTCTAAAGACTATGCCCGCTGCTG